GTTTAAAAAATGTTTACTTTTCCGAAATATTGAAATTTTTAAATTCTTATATAAGCGATTGTGGGCGCTAGAGGGGGCGTGGCACCCTTTTTAACACCTAGAATCTGTATGCAAAATGTCAATCTTCTAGCTTTTATAGTTTCCGAGATCTCAGCGTTCATACAGACAGACAGACGGACATGGCTAGATCGACTCGGCTAGTGATCCTGATCAAGAATATATATAGTTTATAGGGTCGGAAACGCTTCCTTCTACCTGTTACATACTTTTGCACGAATCTAGTATACCCTTTTACTCTACGAGTAACGGGTATAAAAATCTTTAAAAAAAAACTGTGCCATCGAAAAAAAAAACAAGAGAGAACGCTATAGTCGGGTTCGTGTCCCGACTATCTAATACCCGTCACTCGGCTAAAGGGAGTGCGAGGGAGATGGATATATATTTTTGGATTGCGTATAACTTTTTAATGAATGGTCCGATTTGAAAAATGTCTTCTACATTTCGATAGGTATAAATATACACAGACCGCCAGGCACATTTTAAAATCGTTAGTGGGCGATTGTGGGCGTTAGAGGGGGCGTGGCGCTCTTCTGAAATAAACTTGCGCTGCGTAGGAAGCCCAAGAATATGTGTGGAAAATCTCAACCTTCTAGCTTTTGTAGTTATTGAGATCTCAGCGTTCATACGGACAGACAGACAGACAGACAGACAGACAGACGGACAGACAGACGGACAGACGGACATGGCCAGATCGACTCGGCTAGTGACCCTGATCAAGAATATATATACTTTATGGGGTCGGAAACGCTTCCTTCTAGCTGTTACATACTTTTGCACGAATACAATATACCCTTTTACTCTACGAGTAACGGGTATAATTAGTGGTATTTTCGTGATTTGGGGGTCGAACACCAACAGAATTTGCCTACAATTGCTTTGGAGCTCTCCAAGAATATTATTTTGTAAACTAGTGTTATCGGATTTCCCGTTAACAGTACTAAAATTCCCTTATTTGTTAGGGACATTTGGCTTGGCGGAAATTTTCCGTGTGAATTTTTCGGAAGTTAACAGAGTAACAACAGAGGGAAATTCGATTTTGTGCAGTTCTTTCGGAAGTGAGTCTTGGAACAGGTCTGGGAAATTCGAATCCGTGTGAATCGGAAGTGAAAACTAGAACAGGGCCGATATTAAAAATGTCTTTTTTTTGTCAACCTACGATATTTGAAATTTTTTTGTTTTTCCGGTTTTTTTATGGTGTGAATTGTTTTGATGCAATCGGAAAGATAATAGTTTATTTAACAATATTCAAAAAGAAAATATTAAAAAAATCTAGTTTTTTCCATTGCACTTCCCATTTAAAACAAGAGAGACTATCTAACACCCGTCACTCACCTAAAGGGATTGCGAGGGAGATGGATATAAAACATTTTTTTGATTGCGCATAATTTTTTAATGAATTGTCCGATTTGAAACGATTTGAACCAATCGATTGATTGGTATAAATATATATAAAAAAATTGCATTTATAAGTCTCGGAAATCTTTAAAGGTGTGGGCGCCAGACACGTTTTAAAATCGTTAGTGGGCGATTGTGGGCATTAGAGGGGGCGTGGCGCTCTGCTGAAAAAAAAACTTGAGCTGCGTAGGAAAGTATGTAACAGCTAGGAAGCGTTTCCGACCCCATAAAGTATATATATTCTTGATCAGGGTCACTAGCCCATATTGCCATGTCTGTCTGTCTGTCTGTAAAAGACATTTTCCAAATCGGACCATTCATTAAAAAGTTATGAATCGCTGGGGAGCGATTTTTTTTAACTTTAAATATTTTATTTTTTAGCCGAAAGTGAAATTTTTCAGGTAAAAAACGCACTTTTGACTTTGGACTTCCGAAAAAAATTGTTAAAAATAAAAAATTGAAAAAAGGTCTTTACAGGGGGCGGGTTTTTTCAATTCTTAAGCGAAATGTAAAAACAAAATGGAAATCCGATCATTTTTAGCGGAGGTACAGTGAACACCGCAAAACGCCTTTTTTTTAATAGTTTTCCAGCTATCTCTTTGTAACCGATGTATTAGCCGATAGTATCGGCGTTTATAGAAAAAATCGCAAAGTTAGTCGATTTTTTGGTGCCAAAGAGCTTACCCCCCTTAACTTAACATTTTTGGGATGTAACATTTCATTTCATTTCTTAATACGTTACCAATAACACCAGTTTACAAAAAAAAATCGATGAAATATACCATGAATGAAACCTTTGTTTTCCGGTAAGGTACGTCTTCCTGATTAAGAAATTGGCACTTAAAATTTTTTTTATGGATTATGGATTTTTAACGAAGCCATTTATGCCAGCATTTTTGCATTTTTTCTAACTTTTTCAACTTTGACGAAATGTAGCTTTCAAACTAATGAATGGAACTCAATGCAATGTATAAGAAAGTTGGAGGGCATTCTATTACCTGTAAAATGAGTGAATTATGGTTGAAATCGGTTAACCACAACTCAAGTTAGAAATTAAAAAAAGGTCAAAAACGTTTTTTACACTTTAAAAAAAGTTTCATCCATAAAAAAAATTTTAAGTGCCATTTTCTTAATCAGGAAGACGTACCTTACCGGAAAACAAAGGTTTCATTCATGGTATATTTCATCGATTTTTTTTTGTAAACTGGTGTTATTGGTAACGTATTAAGAAATGAAATGAAATGTTACATCCCAAAAATGTTAAGTTAAGGGGGGGGTAGGCTCTTTGGCACCAAAAAATCGACTAACTTTGCGATTTTTTCTATAAACGCCGATACTATCGGCTAATACATCGGTTACAAAGAGATAGCTGGAAAACTATTAAAAAAAAGGCGTTTTGCGGTGTTCACTGTACCTCCGCTAAAAATGATCGGATTTCCATTTTGTTTTTACATTTCGCTTAAGAATTGAAAAAACCCGCCCCCTGTAAAGACCTTTTTTCAATTTTTTATTTTTAACAATTTTTTTCGGAAGTCCAAAGTCAAAAGTGCGTTTTTTACCTGAAAAATTTCACTTTCGGCTAAAAAATAAAATATTTAAAGTTAAAAAAAAATCGCTCCCCAGCGATTCATAACTTTTTAATGAATGGTCCGATTTGGAAAATGTCTTTTACAGACAGACAGACAGACATGGCAATATGGGCTAGTGACCCTGATCAAGAATATATATACTTTATGGGGTCGGAAACGCTTCCTAGCTGTTACATACTTTCCTACGCAGCTCAAGTTTTTTTTTCAGCAGAGCGCCACGCTCCCTCTAACGCCCACAATCGCCCACTAACGATTTTAAAACGTGTCTGGCGCCCACACCTTTAAAGATTTCCGAGACTTATAAATGCAATTTTTTTATATATATTTATATAATATTGAATCATATATTTGAAATCGGTTAACCACAACTCAAGTTAGAAATTAAAAAAAAGTCAAAAACGTTTTTTACACTTTAAAAAAAGTTTTATCCATAAAAAAAATTTTAAGTGCCATTTTCTTAATCAGGAAGACGTACCTTACCGGAAAACAAAGGTTTCATTCATGGTATATTTCATCGATTTTTTTTTTGTAAACTGGTGTAATTTAGGCCAAAAAACTAGTCAATTGCCCCATTGTACAATGGTTTTAAATTTTTTTATTACTTTCTGGATTATTTCGCAAAAAACTAGTGACGGTGCACCTTCAACATACAAAAGTTCTGATATCAACATTTGTAAACAATCATGTAAAGGATTCTTCTGCTTTTGAAAAATGTAAATTGGGTAGATAAAATTCATTTTGAGTTGAGTCAAAATCTGCCAAGTGGGCCACCCCTGTTCTTAAGGTCCGATTTTCATCGAACTTTTTTACTTTTCCGGTTCACAACGAAAATATAAGAACTTCATTTGAACGGTTTTGCGAAATTTTGAGTTTTGCCGGAGTTATAGGGGTCAAAACATGGCATTTTTGACACTTTTTCGAAAAAGTTGCACTCAGTCATTAATTCATAACTTCGGAACGGTAAGAGATATCTTTATGATGTTTTCACTAATCGCTCAAGAATTATTATGGCTTTCCATAAAAAAATGTAAAAAAAATTAAAATTTATTTTTCTTAAAATTAAATCAACATTTTTTTTAGTTTTTATTTTTTTCAGTGTTCTTCACTAGCTATAGAGTTTAAAACCATTTGAAAATAAAGTTTGATTCATTACGAAAAAGATCAAAAAAAAAAAAAGAGTGGCCCGGCCAAAGGTTTTTCGCAATATCGATTTGAAGAAGGGCGCACAGCGGTTTTCCATACAAAAACGGCTTGCTCGTGAAAATTGGCTGGTCAACACATGCCGTTGCGCGCGTAGCGTCAGCCGACTGCAGCTGTCAATGAGGCACTTTTTGTCGTTTTGTATGGAAAACCGCTGTGCGCCCTTCTTCAAATCGATATTGCGAAAAACCTTTGGCCGGGCCACTCTTTTTTTTTTTTTGATCTTTTTCGTAATGAATCAAACTTTATTTTCAAATGGTTTTAAACTCTATAGCTGGTGAAGAACACTGAAAAAAATAAAAACTAAAAAAAAATGTTGATTTAATTTTAAGAAAAATAAATTTTAATTTTTTTTTACATTTTTTTATGGAAAGCCATAATAATTCTTGAGCGATTAGTGAAAACATCATAAAGATTTCTCTTACCGTTCCGAAGTTATGAATTAATGACTGAGTGCAACTTTTTCGAAAAAGTGTCAAAAATGCCATGTTTTGACCCCTATAACTCCGGCAAAACTCAAAATTTCGCAAAACCGTTCAAATGAAGTTCTTATATTTTCGTTGTGAACCGGAAAAGTAAAAAAGTTCGATGAAAATCGGACCTTCGGAACAGGGGTGGCCCACTTGGCAGATTTTGACTCAGTTTTCTTTTTATATATACGTCTAACAAGTGGTAACACTTTTCCCCGATAAAAAAACACTAACCATATCGAATTCACTTTATTTCCTAAAAAGACCCTCCACTTTTACTCGACAGTACGCCAACATGTCGCACTGCAATTTGTCACACACCAATTTGTCCCACACTTGCTTGGAGCGGGCTGATCTTCAGTACGCCAACTTGGAATGTGCACAACTTGTTTCCGTGCGAGGACTTTGCGCCAACATGGTAAGTAAAAGGAATATTTAAACCCTGCAAAAATGCTTTCCTTTTCCTTTTTTAAAGGTATAAAATGTTGTTTAAAACTGGTTTTTAAATATTTGCTACAAAAAATGTAATTGACCAAAGTAATAGGAAATGGAGCCAGCCGAACTTATATATCCTCGCAGATTTTTCCATTTTAGATATTGTTATTTGATTATACCGTGCAACAAAATGAATGCTTTTTAAATTTACCTCGATGGATCCTATGTTTTTGAATTCGTTAAACTGCGTTTTCCAAAAAATTCCCCGACGCAAGGACTCTTAGCACAAGGACCTCAAAGTTCGAAAAATGCTGAGATTGGCTTACTTTCCGGAGCACTCAGAGGCAAACGGATTCATGGTTTGATTTGATGTTAAAGTTTTTTAAAAGATACACTCTTTATCTTTCAAACCCTATACTTAGAATAATTTTAGGATTTTTATTAAAGGAGAAACAAATTCTAGAAAACATAGTCAAAAAACATAAAAGCATACAACTGCGGTCAAAATAGTAGTAGTGTTGCCGCCCTGTGTTTTTAAAGGTTTCTCGGATATCTTTAAAGGTGTGGGCGCCAGACACATTTTAAAATCGTTAGTGGGCGATTGTGGCCGTTAGAGGGGGCGTGGTGAAGAATATGTGTGGAAAATCTCAACCTTCTAGCTTTTGTAGTTTCCGAGATCTCAGCGTTCATACGGACGGACAGACAGACAGACGGACATGGCTATATCGACTCGGCTAGTGACCCTGATCAAGAATATATATACTTTATAGGGTCGGAAACGTTTCCGTCTCCCTGTTACATACTTTTGCACGAATACAATATACCCTTTTACTCTACGAATAACGGGTATAAAAAGATAAAAATAACATTTTAAATATTTCCTAAACAAAAAAGATAAAAATAACATAAATATTTCCTAAACAAAAATGAGAATAAGAAACGGCCTGCAATATTATTAATAACCAAATCTATTATGCTCTTTGCTTACCATTCATTTTCACACACCAAATTTATATTTCAATTTAATTCAATTGCTTACCTATAAATTGCATCTTTGAGGGATCGCACTTTAACTTTCTTAAATAGGCCCAACACAAACTTGTTACTTCGAATGCTCATCCAAAACTGAGCACAAGGATTCAAGATGCAGCGCAACGCAAACCACTCTCTCGCGAGAGACTGCATTTCAAAAAAAAACAACGCAATAAAAGTTACAGCAACGCAGAAGAAAATTTTCGATCATACCCACAAACATATAAATACGCCAAAAACTGTCTTCCCAACGCGCCGCGGACTAACCGCATGTCTTCTTCTTTTTCGTTTCGAAGAAAAAATGAGAAGCATAAAAGAAAAAAAAAAAGTTTTATTTTAAACTATGGTGACTTTCCAATTCTACTTTTCTGTTTTCAAGAAAATTTTTTTCTTAATTCTTTAAATTTAAAAAAATGTAGGTACCGTATTTTTAATGGCGACTTTCTAGATTGTAGGAAGGGCTGAAGTTTATTTTTCTTAAATTAATAGCGAAACTAATGGCAAACTAGGAAAAAACACCATTAATTTAAGAAAAAACGAGGACGGAAGCCAACTTCGGCAAGCCGAATAAAAACTTGACTAGAATAGCAACATGAATTAAAAAACAACAAAATATTCTATAATTGAAAAAATTTTTTTTTAATTTTTCACCTTATTGTTCCTATGGGAGCTATATGATATAGACGTCCGATCGGCACGCGCTTTTACCCTGATCAAGGTACGCACAAAAAATACGATTCGGAAAGTTTCATGGGAATAGCTTATATTCTGCGCGAAATATCCTGAAAAACGTCAAATTTTGACCGATTTCACCCTACTGTTCTAATGGGAGCTATAAGATATAGACGTCCGATCGGCACGCGCTTTTACCCTGATCAAGGTGTGCGTAAAATAATAAGATTTCGAAAGATTCATGTCAAAAGCTCTTACACTGAGCGAAATATCTTCATTTTTTGAAAGCTAAATCCGATTGTTCCTATGGGAGCTATAGGATATAGACGTCCGATCGGTTCGGTTTTCAAACTTGATCTGCGTACACATGTTTTAGGACGACTGTAAAAGTTTTAAGTCGCTAGCTTTAAAACTGAGCTCGCAATCGGTATTGAAACAGACATACGCGTGCCGATTGGACGTCTATATCATATAGCTCCCATAGGAACAATAGGGTGAAAAATTTTAAATATTTATTTTTTTCAATTATAGAATATTTTGTTGTTCATTTATTCATTTTGCTATTCTAGTCAAGTTTTCATTCGTGATATCTGCAAGGGTATTAAAACTTCGGCTTGCCGAAGTTATCTACCTTCCTCGTTGAGTTTTATTTTTTCCGATCAGAAATAATTAGGGTGTTTAATTGCGTTGCAAACGTTGTAAAGTGTAAATCAATTCCAACAACAATTTCTATACAAAATAGTTTTCAAAAGTAGGCCTTTAAAACTTGTTTGTATAGAAATTGTTGTTGGAATTGATTTACACTTTTACCCTTTACAAAGTTTGCAACGCAATTGAACACCCTAAATGATTATTTTTGATTTTTATTTTAAAACTCCAAAATAATCATTATTTTAAGTTTTTTTTTTTTGATTAAAAATAATGATTACACACAATAACAGTACCCAAACCTGTTTGTGAATCGTCACTGTGAAGGAAGTAAGAAAAACCATTTTAAAAATTCGAAAACAATTCACAAAAAATTGATAAGTGTCCTAAAAATTAGGGACATAAGGTGTCTTTGGATCAAAAATGCATTGTAGAAGAAAATATTTTTATTTAATTTTTAAACGCTGTTCACAAATTAAGATTTTTAAACTTAGCTGTGACTTTCAAATTTTTATTGCGCCCTCCTCCTCTTGTGGTTGAGATAGATTGAATTTTCCAAAACGAGCGTTTAAAGGAGACATGTAACTATTTAATTCCGAAAAGATTACCAAAATTGGTTGACCACTCTTGAAGATATATCCCAAAAGCCGAAGAAAATTTGTGATTTTCTTAAATTAAAGATACCGCAAATACCAGAGCTGATGGACTATAGGCGTAGTGGCCACTTATGCTTAGAAAAGCCTCATTTATCGAAATAAAATGGTGGCAGGCCTGGACATCGACCCATGTCACATTTTGTCGGCCTGTGTAATCTAAGTTACATGAAAATAATTTGTGTGCAATCCAACAAATTTTTGAACTGCTCGTATAAAATATGTTCTTACCTAAAATCCGATGTCTATTCATGACTCATAAATAAGAGGTGGTGCACACAAAAAAAAAAACTTGGTAAAATCAACTGTAATAATTGTCAAACAGGCCCCAACCAGCAAAATTGTCAATTCTACTAAGTAAATAGTCATTTCACAACAACAAAATACAAAATACATTAGCAAGACACAAACCCAAAGCAAAAACAAAATACACGTAACTATTTTAATAGTTACGTAACTACCTTTGTTGGTCAATTTTACCAAGCAAATTCTTTTGTGTGTAACTTCATAAATCTTAACCAAAATAATCATATTGGTTTTTGGAGAGTATCTTTTAGAGAAAGAGGTATGTTTAAGCAATGTTTTCGTGCATTTTTTTAAGAAAACAAGCTTATTTTCTAGACGTACACGCTTATCGATGTGCAATTTAATTACATGCTCAATCCAGTATGACATTCTATATTTAAACAATATGTTTTGGACAAAGTACTAATGTTGTGAAGAAAATTAGTGTAAAGATTTGTGTCGAAAAATTAATTTGTTTCTGTTCTGTGCAGCTGATAACTTACGCAAGCAATAAGAATTTTAAAAATTTTTGTTAATTTTGTTAATAGGCTTTCTACTATTTTAATTGTTAAATACTATTCAATGACAAAAAAATAAAACAACAAAATACATGAAAAATTCAGAAAATAGTGAACTACTATTTTTCTATGTCAATTTTACGTATTTTTTTTTTGTGTGTAAAAGAATTTATCTAAAAGTCGATTAATACTAAAAAATATTTGGGTGAACTTCCGTTTAGCTCCTACCCCCGATTTCGTCCAAACTTTCAAAATCCACGTCATTTGTGGTCCTGATTATTGGAAAAATAGTCAAACTATCATGGAAAATAACTGTAAAAACTGTTTTTCTTAAATATCTTCGAATATAATAACTTAATCAAAAAGCTAGCTACGAGAAATGAAAGCTATTAAATAAATGAGTATTTTATGTTTTATACATTTTTTTGTAAAACTAATAGTTTTCGTTAAAAACGCTAATTAAGAATATTTTTTCACAATGTTTGAAAATAAAAAACCGTTGGAGCACACTTGCGTCATTTTGCCCGATATATCCCACGAAAGCTTCATGTTGTATCGGTGTGTCAAAATTTATATCGATGTCTCTCGATGTATTAGCGATGATACTACCAAAGTACGAGAATGGCATTACATTTTTTAGGAAGAGCATTTCTGTTCTCGTAGTTAAATATAAAATTTAGAAAACAAAATAAAATGCAAATTTTACAACGGAAATAAAATGTATTAAAAAAAAATACATATAAATCATTTATAAAGTCGCAGGCAAAAATTTTTTTTAAAAAAAATCGTGGCGAAAGGTAAAATGCTGTTATCGACTAATCGAAAACTATCTGTCGCCATTTTTATGGCGGGATATTGCAGTATTTTAAAATGTTCACACCCAATTTAAAATACTTCTTTTAGTTTTTCCTCGAAAACCTTTATGTTTACGAAGAAAATGATTAATACACAAAAGATCCGTTTTATAAATATCTTCTGTTTTTGTCTAAAACATTTTTTATTTTCCTTATATTTTCCGAAAAAACTGAAAAAACCCGAAAATTTCACGATTTTTACCGTTATTTTTCAAGATCCCGTTATGTGCGCCAACTTTGGCTATTTTTCCCGTAACCAGGACCCAAAAACACGTCAATATGGAAAGTTGGAAAAAAATTGGGGGTAGAAGCTAAACGGAAGTTTATCCAGCGTTTTCGACTCGATAAAAATTTATCTGGTCTTTAAGTATTTCGAACAGATAGCTATCAGGGACTTTGACAGGGACTCGAGAAACCGGCCCTTAAGAAATCTGAATCTCTTTCAGGAAGGCGCTAATTTACGTGGCTGTAACTTTGAGGATCCAACAGGAGTCCGGACCAATCTGGAAGGTGTTAACCTTAAAGGAGCTTGCCTGGAAAGCAGCAACATGGCAGGTGTTAATTTACGTGTGGCTAATTTGAAAAACGCAAATATGAAGAATTGCAATTTACGAGCTGCAGTCTTAGCAGGTGCAGATTTGGAAAAGTGCAATCTTTCAGGAAGCGACTTGCAAGAGGCAAATTTGCGTGGAGCGAATTTAAAGGATGCGGAGCTTGCCTTAATGGTGACGCCATTGCACATGTCGCAGGCCATACGTTGATTTATACGGTGGAAATAATTTATTGTGCAATTACATATCACGTTTTGGCTTCAAATGATTATAACTAACTAGTTTAAGATTAATAATTGTAAATACTTTTAAAAATAAACAGTATTAAGATTGCATTTCTGAAATGGTATAGTGTAACCTTGCAGATGCTGTAATAATTTCAGGTTTGTATACAAAGTAATTACTTCCCTAAAGCCTAGTACTCAGTTCAGCTAAGAGTTTTACTAGTCGAAAAATATTAATCTTTTAGTGAGACCGAAGTTTTCGGAGTTCATCCGCAATGCATGTAGCATGGTCTTACTCTCAACAAACAAATCAACTGGCGCCAATTTTAAAATATTACAAAACGTTGAGCCGACCTGGGTCGCAAGCTTTAAATTCCCTGTTGGAATGGCGATATGTATTGCAGCAACTCCTACAGGCAGTTTTCCAATGGTTTTTGTGGTTTTCCTTCCATTTATACATTGTTATTGGCAAACCGCTTCTGCACAAACACAGCCAAAGATCAAATTTTTTATTCTTTGGGCCGCGGCTAAAGCCTAGTACTCAGTACGACGAAAACTGCTAGCTAAGCATAGGAGTAAGCGAAGGGCAAATAGGTTGCTAAAGCCTTTAGCCGGGGACTTTTTTCACCGCGATACTCAGTTGAGCTAAGGAAATGGTAAGGAAATACCAAAAAAATACTAGATTTAGCGGATGAATTCCGATGAACGCCTTTAGCCGCGGCCCAAAGAATAAAAAATTTGATCTTTGGCTGTGTTTGTGCAGAAGCGGTTTGCCAATAACAATGTATAAATGGAAGGAAAACCACAAAAACCAATGGAAAACTGCCTGTAGAAGTTGCTGCAATACATATCGCCATTCCAACAGGGAATTTAAAGCTTGCGACCCAGGTCGGCTCAACGTTTTGTAATATTTTAAAATTGGCGCCAGTTGATTTGTTTGCTGAGAGTAAGACCATGCTACATGCATTGCGGATGAACTCCGAAAACTTCGGTCACACTAATAGATTAATATTTTTCGACTAGTAAAACTCTTAGCCGAACTGAGTACTAGGCTTAAAGGCGTTCATCGGAATTCATCCGCTAAATCTAGTATTTTTTTGGTATTTCCTTACCGTTTCCTTAGCTCAACTGAGTACCGCGGTGAAAAAAGTCCCCGGCTAAAGGCTTTAGCTACCTATTTGCCTCTCGCTTACTCCTATGCTTAGCTAGCAGTTTTCGTCGTACTGAGTACTAGGCTTCAGGAATAAAAACGAACCTACAACGTATACATAGGTATTTATTATGAAATTACTCACACAAAAGTATAAGAAAATGTTATTGTATTGTGTGCATACCGCTGCAATATGGGCATTTGACCACTTTTAATAACTGTTTAAAAGATATTGTCATGACATTTTTTTTTCCCAGCGCATATTATATGCGATTATCCGAATCGAACAACTATATCATATATAGCTGCCATAGAGACGATCAAATTAACTTTGTTGATTTCGGAGATACCTGCACAGAACTTTAGTAATAGCGACTATTTACGTGTTTAATTCAATATTTAAAGTTTCGTACAAAGAAAAAAATATAAAAACATACAGCTGCGGTCAAAATATTAGTAGTGTTGCCGCCCTGTGTTTTTAAAGGCAAGCAAATCTCCTTTTCTTCTCTAAAGTAAATATTTCCATATTTAAATTTAATATTGAAAAAAGGTAATATGAACATATTTATATATTTAATAAAAACCGCAATTGATGAAAATCAAAGTGAAAAATATTTGGATTGAATATGAAATCTATTTCAATATAATTGTAGACCAAAAATACGGTCAGTAGCAAATTCCACCCAGAACGGATTGACATAAAAATCTAGAAAAATCACATTAATTACTAAAATAATTAGGAGCCGCGTAAGAGTTACTTTTTAAGCCTAGTACTCAGTTCGGCTAAGAGTTTTACCGGTCGAAAAATATTAATCTTTTAGTGAGACCGAATTTTTCGGAGTTCATCCGCAATGCATGTAGCATGGTCTTACTCTCAACAAACAAATCAACTGGCGCCAATTTTAAAATATTTCAATACGTTGAGCCGACCTGGGTCGCAAGCTCTCAATTCGCTGTTGGAATGGCGATATGTATTGCAGCAGCTCCATTTATAAATTTTTATTGGCACACCGCTTCTGCACATACACAGCCAAAGATCACATTTTTTATTCTTTGGGCCGCGGCTAAAGGCGTTCATCGGAATTCATCCGCTAAATCTAGTATTTTTTTGGTATTTCCTTACCATTTCCTTAGCTCAACTGAGTACCGCGGTGAAAAAAGTCCCCGGCTAAAGGCTTTAGCTACCTATTTGCCTCTCGCTTACTCATATGCTTAGCTAGCAGTTTTCGTCGTACTGAGTACTAGGCTTTAGCCGCGGGACAAAGAATAAAAAATTTGATCTTTGGCTGTGTATGTGCAGAAACGGTTTGCCAATAACAAATTATAAATGAAATTAAAAATGAAAACCAATGGAAAACTGCCTGTAGGAGTTGCGGAAACACATATAAACCAACAGCAAATTTAAAGCTCCCAACCCAGGTCGGCTCAACATTTTGTAATATTTTAAAATTGGCGCCAGTTAATTTGTTTGCCGTTTGTGAACCCAGCTGGTTTACAATAAGACCATGCTACATGCAAAGCGGCTGAACTCTGAAAACTTCGGTCAAACTACAAAAGAATAAGATTTTTCGACTAGTGAAACTCTTAGCCGAACTGAGTACTAGGCTTTAATCTAGTTTTTTTTTGGTATTTTCTTACTATTTCCTTAGCTCAACTGAGTACCGAGGTGGGAAAAAGTCCCCGGCTAAATGCGTTAGCTACCTATTTGCCTCTCGCTTACCCCTATGCTTAGCTAGCAGTTTTCGTCGTGCTGAGTACTAGGCTTCATACTCTTGTAGAGGGTATTATAATTTCAGTCAGATGTTTGCAACGCAGTGAAGGTTAATAAGTTTCCATATTTCGACTATCGATACATGCCAGAAACCATGTATCATGTATCAAGAAAAGGTAACGTACTATTTTTACGCTACCTGATACCTGACCACTGATGCAAAATTCTTGCATCATGATTAGTAATCATGTGCGTTCAGCAGAACAATCGTAAGAAATGCATCAGTGATCAGGTATCATGTTAATTTTTACTAAAAAAAATAATATTTTTTTCGGTCCCTGGAAACTGCTCTTTAAGTCAGCTGTTATTCGGTGGTGGATGGTAGATGTTCTCTGTGGGAACACGCGTTTTACATTTGTCAAAAATCCCAACCGTTTTACACGGATGGGCTCTATGGGAAGAGGCTATTAGTTCGCCATTCAAAATTTGACCGACTTTGACGGGCTCTTTTATGCGTTGATTAGACGATGTTATATCGGTGTAACTCTGAATTCTTTCTGTTGGCTATTATTGGAAGGGTTTATGCCCCTCTTTCCTATAGTTTAAATTATTTATTGTACATGATTTTTATATTAATAAAATAAAAAATCTTTTAAATGGGGTTTTCAGGACTCCTTGCCGCTGTATTCGAATTTTATAGGCGGATGCACTAAACCGATAACGGTGTAAAGCGCAACAATTTTTTTTGTGTATTTTCAGCACATACGCAGGGCCCCACATGTTATACATTGTACATGTATGTATGTCAAACGTAAAACCCGAAAACATTTCATTTACGTTGCTATTTTTACTTAGACCGGTTGTTATTTGCAAGTTGTTAATTTTTTCAAGGATCCAGCAATCGGCGCGCGCAAGCATCGAAAAATAGGAGCAAAACATCGATAGCCAGATTTTTCCCACCACTAGCGAAACGTCAATTTTCAAACGTGGTTTTTTTGGAAGCAGCCGGAGGTAGACGTTGCTCGTGTAAAATTGTGTAAATCCAGCGTGAAAAATTGTTGCGCGAAGAAAAACCAGCAGCAGCTTGATACACAACTTTAAACGCGATACAATGGAAGATCAAAGCAACGCAGCTCCCGCTGCCGCCGCGGAGAACGGCGCAAACACCGCGCAGGAGGTGTCGTCGACAAGTAAGTGTGCCCCCTCCAAGGGGCGAATAGAACGAAAATTGCATATACCTGCGCGAGTGTGAGAATGTTATCATAAATATTTTGCGCCGCGTTTCGCCAGCCTTTGTGTTTTGTGCAGTCGCATTGCAAAAAGGGATCAAGGTCTCGCATTCCCCTTTGCGTACGGCCATTTTACGAAGTGCGAAGGCAGAAAAGTTGTCAAAATTCCGCCATATTTATTTCTAGTAGACTAGCTGTAAATAAGAGTTGTCAAAACGCCGAAACTGAAAATCATAAAGGCATTGGAAGGGGAACGAATTTCGTTCGATGCCCGCTTTTTCTTTTCTGGCGGCGATCCACGGTTGTGTTGTTGACATTAATTACGTCATCTTTGCGCGCATTCTGCCCACAATTACTTCTGCGCCCGCAAATAGTACGATATGAATCATTTTTGGCTGCTCTTGGCCGATTTGGAGTGATTCTGTGCACGCCAGTGTCATTTTATCTTGCACGTCGCTCCTCGACCGTCCATTTTCCGTGGTTGCACACAACAACAGGCACACGGCATTGCTCACACGCATACATATTAATTGAGAAATTCGCGATTTGATGCGCTCATCGCTGAGAAATGTTTGTCCGTACGTGTGTGTGCGAGCCGGAGCGTTGCCAACTTATTGGTCATGCGTCAATATCGATATTATGATTCTTCGGTGCGGCTCTGTTCTTACATGAGCCCGCTAACGCAAAGTGCGAAATAAGTTCACGTTAGTTATTTGCTGGATATTTAAATTTCGTTTTTTAGGAAACGCACATATATAGGTGTGTTCCAGAATTCGCACAGGTGGCAACTCTGCCGACTCTGTTTTCTATGCAGATTTTTGTTATTGATGGCAGTAGCCGGTGTTTGCTGGTGTTTGTTTGGGCCAATTTCCCATCTGATTGCTGGGTGTGGAAACCGGTTTATCAGCCGTGGTATCAGCTTTAGTCCAGCGCAGAGTTGGCATGATAACAAGTGTTCATTACAGCCGATAAGAGCTATTGCTAGGGTTTTGCCATTCAGCATTCTTAAAGTAAACGTAAAGTCAAACACCTATAACGTAAACCACCATGCGCCAGCAATAAAACTGCAGTTACAGTTAACAAGTTCGACTCTTCAAGTTTTCACTTTCGAGGTACTTTCATTAGTTTTTTAATGAATTCATGGGGAATGTTATTGCTTTGATCGCGACGCTTTTGAAAACTAAACTTTCAACTCTTTAACTTTATTACAGTCTATATGATTCATGTCTGATAATTAAAAGAACTAATTTATCTTTAGCTTTATAATTCCACTTAATATTAATTAACCCTTGCCCAAATATAGTTATAGTAAATGATGTCCTAAAAACGGATTAGCCTATGCTGCTATAGATTTCTATCCAGTTCTAATTATACTATTATTATGCAGCTCAGCCCATAGAGCCCACAAAGCGCTCGTTGCGTGTGCAAACCTGGAAAAAGATCCAGGAAGGCAAGGTTGGCATTGGATTCAACAACATATTCAACCGGATTCCCTCGTTCGTGGATGCCGATAAAGCTGCTGCATTGCTTATCAACGAGGAGGAGTTCAAGAAAGCACGTAAGAGGCTTGCACAGCCTGATTTTTACAAACTTTTATCAATCCCCTCCGTATTGCAGAGCACATTAAGGTAAACATCGATCGCGCCTTGCACGAATTCAAGGAACAGGCGTTGCTGGCCGACAAGTCTGTTTACTTGCCGAGCACTCGGGACTCATCGGCGCTATGCCTCAAGGTAGATGTGCCAGCCGATGCCACGGAGGAGCAGAAAAAGGAGGCTTTGCGTGTCCAGGACATCCAAAAGTTCCGTACAGAAATCGGACTTGACAGCGGTCTGAAGCTGGATATTGTGGTGATTGGTTCCGTCGTGGTGTCACGCGATGGTTACCGCATTGGCCGCGGGAATGGGTTCGCCGATCTGGACATTGGCCTCCTTATTGAATTGGGAGCCATCACACCCGAAACACTTATTGCCACGATCGTGCACGATGTGCAGGTGGTGGACACGTTGCCACTGAATCTGTTCCAGAAGTATGACACGCCAGTGGATATAATTGTGACTCCCTCAGAAGTTATCCGCGTGGCAAAGCGCTTGCCCCGTCCCAATGGCGTCTTCTGGGAGCTTCTTTCCGACCGCCGTCTAAAGATATTACCAGTTCTGCAGCAGCTTAAGGAGCGTGAGGAGAAGGCCGGGAAATCGATATCTCTGAAGGAGGAAGATACTGACGTGGAACAGCATCAAAACAACAGACGCCGCCGTGGGCCCGTGCGACGTCGCTTCCAACGAGGAAACCCAGGACGCACCACCTCACAGACTGACAACGAACAACAGGGCGTAAGTAGATTGCAAGAAGCCCAGAACTTTTGATTAATCTTTAACCGCCAATATACAGGAGACTACGCAGAAACGCACTCCGCGCCGCAAAGGTCGTTTCGTCAATCGCCGCAGACGCACAACAAAGGTTAGGAGGTGTAGTCCATGTAAAAGGATAAATGTGATTACTATATTTTTTTTAGTCTGAGGGCGATCAGTCTGGAGTTGAGGGAGGAGCCAAGAGTGAGGATCGTAAGTTCGAAGATGCTGCCACTGGAGAGCGTCGTCCAAAAAAGAATAAGAATCGCGGACCACGCGACTTCTGCATTAAGTTGACAAATTTGACGCGTGACATTCGCGTAAAGGACTTGAAATCGGAACTCCGCAAGCGTGAGTGCAATCCGATGTCGATTACTTGGAAGGGTACGTCTTTTACATCCTGTATAAAAGAATTCAGCTTAAAAGCCCTCTTTGGTAGGTCACTTTGGAAAGTGTTTCCTGCACTTCGGAAACCGCAATGGTACACCCAGCACCCAGGATGACGTGGACAAGGTTTTGAAGTCGCTTAATGATCTCTCGCTAACCATCACCACCGGTGGCGAGACTGCCCCAGCTGCAGCAGCAGGCGCTGAGGGGGAGGCGGCCGTAAAAACGGAGCCAGCTGAGTCTGCGGCGCCTGTGCAGACGAAGACTATAAACGTTAACGTCGAGCTGTTTAAGTTTGGCGCCAAGAAGAGTGCCAGCTCCACTGGTGCCGGTGAGGATGGAAACGCTGCCGGCGAGGTACAAAACGGAGGAGAGGACGGAACTGTGACTGTCGGCGACGTAGGTGGTGCACGCATCGAGGCTGTCGACACAACCACAGTATAGTATGACTTTGCGCTTGGCGCAGCCACTGAACGGTCGCGGCGGATTTCCGCCAACAGCGCAACGTTTAGAGTTCAACGAAAAAAAGTAACATTTTGTTTAGAAAAAATCGAAAAATATCAAACAAAAAATGAATAGAAAACGAACTCTGGACACACAAAGTACACTCAACATACACACTCACTAAATACACACAGACAGGTTACACGTGCATACACTAAAGATCATGTTTAGCAGCTTGTAGTTTCTTCTTCTCCTTCATTACTCTAAAAACAAGAAGAGCAAACCCCAATTTTTCTAGCAAGGACACAAACCATTGACGCTTTTTCTAAACATTTGCATTTGTTTTTGCCCCGAAAAACAAAACGATAATTCGTTGAACATTATAAGGTTTTCAACTTAATTGAAATGATTGCAGAAATACTCGTTCCACAAATGCAGGGTGGAACACAATTTCTTCTAAATAATCCTATACTAACTTCTTGTGACTTGTTACATTTCTGAGTTAGGACACTTCTAAATATTTTTCATTTTGATTTCATATCCCAGCACTAAGATCGGTTGCTCTATCTCTTTTAAGCAGTTGAGCTGCCAATGGGAGTAGTAGTTGTGGGCGAAGCTAAACTAAATTCAAAAGTCTAATAATAATCGAAAAGCCCAAAAAAAAGCGAAAAACCGTGAATACGATAAAATGAATTAACAAACAATTAACACATTGCATTTTCGTTGAGAGAAGTATATAAAGAAGATAATTGTAATTTGGTTAGTGTTTCCCTACTTTCACCGCAAACACCAATACCTTTAATTATATATTTTAACAAAAGATCAACACATGTGTGAAAACTACAATTATACAATGCAGAACATTATTTACTCTTTTTTTATACAAAGAAAAGGCATTACAAAAAAATGTGAAACATGAATGAAATATAACTTGAAATAAAAAAAAAAAAAAAATCGAAAAAGGGCCATTTTGCCATTTACCCGTTTATTTTCTTTTGGGATTGTAGTCTAACAATATGTACAAAGGAGCTTTAACCTATTTATTCAATTGAAATACGCTAAAAAATATATAAATGTTAAAATTTATTATATACATGTACAAAAAGTGAAATTCAGCGGATATCGGAAAATAGATTGTGGTTCTCTGAGGATGGATGGCTGTCAAGTCATCGCTGGGCAAGTGGGCCTGGAAAGTTGTGTACTTTGAAACCTGTTGCTTACCGACACTTTCTTAATTTTCTTTCGGTATTATTTTTGAAGTGCCAGCCGATTGCTTGAACTGTGGTGAAGGAGTCCGATCAATAAATTCAATGCTGTCAGTCTTTGACTGGGCGGCTGCGGATGGTGCGGCAGTGGCTTCGGCAGCGTGCACAATGGAAGCGGCGGGTTTCTCCTGGATAGGCGCCAAGCTATTTACAATGGAGTTAGCCATGGCTAATTCAAGTTCTCTCTGCCAATCGTTCTCCTTCTGTTCCATGGCCTTGCGCTTCAGCTCTTTGTAGCGGTTGTAAACGATGAACTCTTTGACCAGCGCGGTCTCGGGATCGCTGTCGCGTTGTGCCGACCGCTGTTTGGCCAGGCGCTTCTTCTTTTTATGTAAGGGTCGCGTCTCCACAATCATTTCCTCCAGCTCCAGGCATGGATCACAGTTAAGGTGGTCTTCAGGGGGCTTATAGATAGGCTTTATCTTCTTCTCGAGCACTTTCTGGAAGTCAATGTTACGTAGTAACGGGGTCTGATGCAGCTCCTGCTTTGTGCTGATCCTGGCACCAGGATAAGTGGAGAGTAACTGTAAAAATAAACATATGTGCATTAATTCGCAGTCTCAACTAAATATTGTGCAACCCACCTTCTGGAGCAGATCGACAAAGTTTCTGCTCCAATAGCGGGGGTAGTGCACGGGGGTGTTCAATATATTCTTTATCTCCTCCAAAGGTGTGTTCGAATGCACCACAAAGGGTCGAATATTGCCCCGCATCTCATAAGCCACTACGCCAAGCGACCACCAGTCCACAGAATAACTATAGCCGGCTAAAATTATAATAATTATACCCGTTAGTCGTAGAGTAATAGGGTATTATGTATTCGTGCAAAAGTTTGTCTGTCTGGATGAACGCCGCGATCTCTAGAACTACAAAAGCTAGAATGTTTGGATTAACCACACATATTCTTGGGTTTCCTACGCAACGGAAGTTTGTTTCAGCCGAACGCCATGCCCCCTCTAACGCCCACAATCGCCCACTAACGATTTTAAAATGTGTCTGGCGCCCACACCTTTAAAGATTTCTGTGAAGTATAAATGCAATTTCGTTGTGTATATTTATACCTATCGACAGATAGAAGACATTTTTAAAATCGGACCATGCATCAAAAAGTTATGCGCAATCAAAGAAATTGTATATATCCATCTCCCTCGCAACACCAACCCGACTATAGCGTTCTCTCTTGTTATACCCGTTACTAGTAGAGTAAAAGGGTATATTGTATTCGTGCAAAAGTATGTAACAGCTAGAAGGAAGCGTTTCCGACCCCATAAAGTATATATATTCTTGATCAGGGTCACTAGCCGAGTCGATATAGCCATGTCTATCTGTACGTCTGTCTGCCTGTCTGTCTGTCCGTATGAATGCTGAGATCTCGGAAACTACAAAAGCTAGAAAATTTTCCACACATAGCGCAAGTTTATTTTAGTCTGGCGCCCACATTTTTAAAGATTTCCGAGAAGTATAAATGCAATTTTGTTGTGTATATTTATACTTATCGAAATGTAGAAGACATTTTTCAAATCGGAACATTCATCAAAAAGTTATGCGCAATCAAAAAAATCTAAATATCCATCTATCTTGCACTCCCTTTAGCCGATCGACGGGTATTAGATATTCGGGACTATAGCGTTCTCTCTTGTTTTAAATAATGTCATGTAACCTGAACAAGGACTCTATTATCCACTTACCCACTTCGTCCAGAGCACACAGAAATACCTCAGGTGCCATATACGGTTTCGTCCCCGACATGCTGCAGGCCAAAGCATCCTTTTGCAACCTCGTTGCAATGTTGAAATCAGTCAAATGAGCATGTCCTGAAAGTAAAAAGTACTTTAGTATACATTTTTATACCCTTTACCGTCCGTCCGTATGAACGCTGAGATCTCGGAAACTATAAAAGCTAGAAAATTGGGATTAACCAAGTTTATTTCATCAGAGTGAGACGTCCTTATAAACGCCCACAATCGGCTTAAACGATTTAAAGTGTCTGGCACCCACATCTTTAAAGAATTTGAAAAATTATAATTGCGATATTGTTGTGTATCAAGAGGTAGAAAAAATTTTAAAATCATTTTTTAATTTCCCTTTAATAAAAAGTTATGAGCCAGTAATGAAATTCAAGCCGGTCAAACAATCGCTTTGCTGCATGCATATCGCACTTCTTTAGCTGAGTAACGGGTATCTGATAGTCGACGTACTCGACTATAGCATCAAACAGCTCGTCGTAAAAATTTTGGAGCTGAGCTACTCAAACCTGCAATTTGTATTCAGGGGGTATTATAATTTCAGTCAAAAGTTTGCAACGCAGTGAAGGAGACGTTTCCGACCCCATAAAGTGTGTATATTCTTGATCAGCATCACTACACTCAACAAAAAAAACAGCCCGAAATCGCCATTAAATCAAGAAATTCGCCATGAATTTCAGTCGATGGCGATTTACCGTATTTTTTAGAAAGAAATTTTCCAAAATAAAAAAAAAAAATCTGAAAAGCAGAAATACTTTTCTAAAATCAAGAAAAATTGCCATAAAATTGAGAAAATTTCCTAAAATCCAGAAAGTACTTTTCTTGAAAATAGAATTTTTTTCTTAAAATAAAAAGGACTTTTTTTATTTTCAGAAAATTTTCTTTATTTTAAAAAAATGTATACATATTTATTTTACTATTTTATTTCCTAAACAAGAAAGAGAAAAGAAAATAATAAAGATGAAAAGAAAATTATTAATAATTCCTAAACAAAAAGGGAAAACAAAACAAAAAAGATAAAAATAGGATAATAAATATTTCCTAAAGAAAAAAGAGAAAAGAAAACAAAAAAAGATAAAAATAACATTATAAATATTTTCTAAACAAAAAAGAGAAAAGAAAACAAAAAAGATAAAAAATTATTAATATTTATATTAAGTTGGTATTTAACATATTACCTATTATTAAAATTTACTTACTTACTGCCAAATTATCAACAATACCTGAAATTGAAATTATTCCTGCAATCGAAAATAAAAATTAATATTAGAGAAGGATGGTATTTGCGGCCTGCAATATTATTAATAGCCAAATCTATTAAAATAGTATGCCCTTTGCTTACCATAAATTTTCACACACTTACCAAATTTATATTTAAATTTATTTAAATTGCTTACCTATTAATTGCCTCTTAGAGGGATCGCACTTTAACTTTCTTAAATAGGCTCAACACAAACTTATTACTTTGAATACTCATCCAAAACTGAGCACAAGGGTTCAAAATGTAGCGCAACGCAAGCAACTCTCTCGAGAGACTGCATTTCCAAAACAACAACGCAATAAAAGTTACAGCTACGCACAAGAAAATTCTCGATCATACGCACAAACACACATAAACATATACATACATACGCCAAAAACTGTCGTCGCAACGCGCCGCCGACTAACCCCCTGTCTTCTTCTTTTTCGTTTCGAAGAAAGAATGAGAAGCATAAAAGAAATACAAAAAGTTTTTCTTAAATCTATGGTGATTTTCTAATTCTACTTTTCTGTTTTCAAGAAAAAAATTTTTTTTTAAATCAGAAAAATTCTTAAAATTTAGAAAAATTTACCGTATTTTTTATGGCGACTTTCTAGATTCTAGGAAGGGCTGAAGTACATTTTTTCTTAATTTAATGGCGAAATCGCCATTAATTTAAGAAAACTTTTGGAGAGCAAACTAGGAAAAAACACCATTGATTTAGAAAAAAAATAATTTTTCTAAATTTTAGAAAGCTTTTTCATATAATTCTGTTTTTATGGTCTTCTTTCCTAGATTCAAGAAAACAATTTCTACAATTCAGAAAATTTTCTAAAATTAAGAAAAAATTTCATTTTATGGCGATTTTCTAAAATTTAGGAAAAAAAATTTTTTGAGTGTAGACGAGTCGATCAAGTGTAAGATTTTGCCAATCTAGGGGGAAAAGTTGAACTATTTTTGAAGTCGATGAGCTTTAAGCACCACTTTAAGAAATGTTCAACTATTATACAAACAGGCTCAAAACAAAACAAAATTTTTTTTTTGGAAGATAACGGTTTTTAAAGTTGGACTTTAGTAATGCATACAAGTTTGCACTGGGAAGCGAGCAACAGTTGACAAAGTTTAGTCTTATCAATTGCATCGCGTGATTAGTGGGAGCAGCCAAAAGTTATTTTTCCCAGAAACTTTGGACAATTTTTAATCCACTTTCAAACAACAAAAACATTTTATTGGTCCAAAAATTTTTTTTTCTTTTTTTGAAAAAAGTAAGTGTATTTTTTAATGTTTCTGTTTTTTGGTGGAAAAAACTTATAGTATTCTGTCGTATTCTATCCAACCATAATTCGCAGGCGTTGATTCTGATTCAGAATTTAAAAAAAATTTAGCCCATGTTTTGCCCACAGACTATCTATTTAGAAATAAGTGAAATAAGCCATGCTGCATTTTTCAAAGTTTGGCTCTAGTCCAGCACGCAGTGATGGTGTTTGGCTATGACATTGATCACTCCAAATTATAACTACACATGAGTAAACTGTCTTTTGAGTTTCAAAACAGATTTGAGAAATCTAGGAGAGATAAAGCCAGGTATCTTGCTCATAATGCAAGTTGCCTTCATGTCATATTGAATGGCGAGGACTATCGCATTGATGTCATTGTCTCCACCTCAAGTACAAGAGGGACGGCACAAAAAGCTTTTTCTGAGTGCTGTCCGAAAACACATAAAAGGAAAAGCCAAGAATTGTTGTCAACGATAGATGAGGATCAATTGCTATCAGCCGCAGAACTGGCTTTGCGGGCGGAAGGAAAACGGGATTCAGCTAAATTAATTAATGAATTATCAAATGCTCCCGCGTGCACGGGGACTACAATTAAGAAAGCTTAATAATTTTCTAATGGCCCTTTAAAACGCCTTAAATCAGATCACTAACCCTTATGTTAGACAGGAAAAAATTGTCCAAAATTGTATTCATGTTATAATCTCGTACACACAAATACTGATCTCATGCACAGGTTACTAATATCATTCGAACCATTTATAGCAAGTTTGCGAGCACCACCAAAATCTAGACATTAATTTTTCATTTATTTTTCGATCGTTCCTATGGCAGCTTTATGATATAGTCGTCTGATTTTGATCAAATTAAAATTGAAATTCGGAAATATTTAAAAAGAGTCATATCCTAGAGTAGAAGAGAATACAATAAAAACCAAAGAAGCTAGAATTTATTTCCTATTACTTTTCCATTAATTTTCCGATCGTTCCTATGGCAAATTCAGAAATATTTAAGAAATAACATCCCCAAGAGTAGAAGGTAATATTTCAAAAAACACCGAAGCTAGAGTTTTTTAACCTTTTTTTTCGATCCTTCCTATGGGAGCTATAAGATATAGTTTTCAGATCCGGTCGGTTCCGACTTATATACTACCTGCAATAGAAAGAAGACTTTTGGGTAAGTTTCAAGCCGATTGCTTCAAAACTGAGAGACTAGTTTGCGTAGAAACGGACGGACAGGCGGACAGACGGACACGGCTAGATCGACTCGTCTAGTGATGCTGATCAAGAATATATATACTTTATGGGGTCGGAAACGTCTCCTTCAGTGCGTTGTAAACTTCTGACTGAAATCATAATACCCTCTGCAAGTGTATAAAAATGCATATCAAATGAATTGGATGTTGGATTGTAATGATCGATAAGCTTGTTTTTTTGTCGAAGTACCTTCTACCAGTAGAAGTTATAAAAATAATTTCGGTTTTTAGGCGTATATTTTTAACGAAGCCATTTATGCCACTATTTTGGCATTTTTCTAACTTTTTCAACTTTGACGAAGTGTAGCTTCTAAACTAATGAGTGGAACTCAATGCCGCGTATAAGAAAGTTAGAGGGCATTCTATTACCTTTAAAATGTGTCTTTTATGGTTGAATTCGGTTTAACACAACTCAAGTTAGAAATTAAAAAATGCCAAAAACGTTTTTTACACTTAAAAAATAATTATCTCCAAAAAAAAATTTGGAAAATCTTAAAAAAAAAACCATTTTGGCAGGCTTTTTGTTCTAGGCGCCCCACAGTGAGTCCCTGTTAAAGTCTCTGATAGCTATTTATAGCTGATTTCCCGCTAAGCTAGCGAGTTTTTCCAAAAGTGGTAGAACAAAAGTTTTTTATATCAATGTGATGAACGTCATATCAAATTTTCATGTTTTGGACAAACGGACAAACAGAATTAAATTTTCATTTTGGGCAGACGTCGAAAATCTTAATTTGGCTATAACTTTTGAACGGAGTCGGAATATATTATATGACCCCTCATTCGACGGGTATTTTCAATAGGAACACAACTAACACATTGCGAGGGGGCATTTATCCCCACCGGCCCCAACAGCTCCAAATTTCGAAATTTTCACTTTTTCACTTTCACCGCTCTCTCTCCCAAGCCAATTGATTTTCTTAAAGTCTTGGCATACGATCGGACTATCACAGCAGATTTTCAATTTTGCGGCTATATAATAGTAGTCGCCTTCGCACACTCTCCTGGTGCGCTTCGTCACTACATGGACTGCCGTCCATAGTGATATAATTTTGCGAGTGTGTATTTCAGATGTATATTATCCAACTCGTCAGTGAAATGTAACACTAATATTTGGGCATTCTAAGTACTTACCGGCATCGTCCAGAAGAATATTGTCGGGCTTTATGTCCCTGTGAACCACTCGGTGCGATTGCAAGTACTCCAATGCACTGCCAAGCTCGCACACTAATAAGGCCACACTCTGCTCCGAGAACTCCACCTAAAGGAAATTGGGAAAACACAACAGTAGTACAACAGTAAAAGGAGGTGTACAGGTACGAACAAAACTTACGCGGTTTTGTAAATGATATCTCAAGTCGCCACCCGTCAACAAGTCGCAAACCATAAATAAGTCCTCCTCATCTATGAAAGGCAAGAGAAAAAAGTATACATACACACAAAAAAATTTGCTTGGTAAAATTGACCAACAAAGATAGTTACGTAACTTTTAAAATAGTTACGTGTATTTTGTTTTTGCTTTGGGTTTGTGTCTTTGCTAATTGTGTGTATTTTGTTGTTGTGAAATGACAATTTACTTAGTAGAATTGACAATTTTGCTGGTTGGGGCCTGTTTGACAATTATTACAGTTGATTTTACCAAGTTTTTTTTTTTGTGTGTATGAGTGCTCTGTGGCCCAGCCCCAAAATTAGTGTTCAGAGTTATTTGCAGCAACATCATCAGCCAGCTAGGAAAAAGCGAGTGACATAGTGAATGAAAAGTGCCAGGAGCCGCTAAGCTGGCAAGGCACCGGTAGAGGTAAGATAACCATCCTATTTTTATATGCATTTTCTGTTCCATACACACAAAAAAATTTGCTTGGTAAAATTGACCAACAAAGATAGTTACGTAACTATTAAAATAGTTACGTGTATTTTGTTTTTGCTTTGGGTTTGTGTCTTTGCTAATTGTGTGTATTTTGTTGTTGTGAAATGACAATTTACTTAGTAGAATTGACAATTTTGCTGGTTGGGGCCTGTTTGACAATTATTACAGTTGATTTAACCAAGTTTTTTCTTTGTGTGTAGATACGTCAAAATTTGTATGACTAAGATTTTTGAATTTTAAGAAAAAAAACAAAAAATGGGCACAGTTTTCGCTTTTTTTAAATTCTAAAAGGTTGGCAATGGTAGTCAAATGAAAGTCAAACGAACTACAAAAAAAATTTTTTTAAAAGCAATATAAAATAATTCATGTCAATCGAATAATCCATCGTTGTTTTATTGCAACTTAAAATTCTATAACTGTAAAAAAACACCCGTTAGAAAAAATAAAAATTCAATTGTTTTTTATTACCTTAATTGGTAGAATAACTCTTTAAAAATGTGTCATGAAAGTTTCACGAAGAAATTTGACATATTTTTGAACTTATACCAGGATTACGGCACCCACCTTCCTTGTACAGTAGGGTTATTTCATTACTTTAAATGCCTTTTTCTCGAAACCACGTTTTCCTCAGCTGCGGATCGTGTATCTCAAAAAGTAATGCCTCGATCATCATGCTGCTTTTACAGAAATGTTTGTAATGAAATTGCCCACTGTCTGAACCTACTTAATGTAGAATTTTGTACGTTTAGGTATATTTTGTTAGCCAAAAACAACAAAAAAATTATAAAAAAATGATTTTTGACTTTGAAAGAGTGCCACAGCCATAGTTTTTAAGATATTCTATGTAAGTTAGGTTCAGACAGTTTCTACATTATTTTTTAACAAAATAAAATTGTTTAATAAAAATCGGATCTACACAGCGACCTGTGGACCATCCGCAGCTGGCCTACTTTTTATACCCGTACCATGTCCGTCTGTCAGTCTGTCCGTCTGTCTGTCTGTCTGTCTGTCTGTTTGTCTGTCAGTATGAACGCTGAGATCTCGGAAACTATAAAAGCTAGAAGATTGACATTTTGCATGCAGATTCTAGGAGTTCCTACGCAGCGCAAGTTTGTTTCAAAAGGGTGCCACGCCCCCTCTAACGCCCACAATCGCTTAAATACGATTCTAAAAATGTCAATATTTTGGAAAAGTAAAAATGCAGTTTTATTGTTTTTATGAATACCTATCGAAATGTAGAAGAAATTTTTTAAATCGGACCATTCGTTCAAAAGTTACGGTTGATCAAAGTTTTTATCTCCATCTCCTTCGCACTCCCTTTAGCTGAGTAACGGTATCTGATATTCGGGGCACCCGACTATAGCGTTCTCTCTTGTTTTTAATATAGCCTGACGAAAAAATTCCCACGGACGCCATTTTAAAAGATAAAAATTGTTTAAAATTATATAAGAACAATGTAATCAACATGCCAAGTTACGAAATCCCAGCACAATTCCTTATTGGTTAAAAGAAATCACAAAAACTTGAAAAAATTACAGTTCTATATGTATCTCCCCTTTTAATTTAAACGATTTTTGCTCACAATATGGCATTTTTGACAAAAAAGTGGCACCCTTTCCTTATTGTATAACTTCGGAATTGCTATGATTTTTATACCCTTGCAGAGGGTATTATAATTTCAGTCAGATGTTTGCAACGCAGTGAAGGAGACGTTTCCGACCACATAAAGTATATATATTCTTGATCAGCACCAATAGCCGAGTCTATCTAGCCATGTCCGTCTGTCTGTCCGTCTGTCTGTCCGTCTAACTGTCTGTCCGTCTGTCCAGCACCAATAGCCGAGTCTATCTAGCCATGTCCGTCTGTCCGTCTGTCTGTCTGTCCGTCTGTTCGTCTGTCCGTCTGTCCGTCTGTCTGTCTGTCTGTCTGTCCGTCTGTCCGTTTCTTTGCGAACTAGTCTCTCAGTTTTAAAGCTATCGCGATGAAACTTTCCCGAAAGTCTTCTTTCTATTGCAGGTAGTACATATGTCGGAGCGAGCCGGATCGGACCACTATATCTTAAGGCTCCCATAGGAATATTCAATTAAATATGGGAAAATTCATTGTAACTTTGTATCTGAATCTGGAATCCCTGGAACTGCACCGAGTGAGCATTAAACTATAGGTATTTACTTTATCTGCAAGGGTATATAAGCTTCGGCTGGCCGAAGGTAGCTTCCTTTCTTGTTTTTTTTAAATTCTGCATATGCCTGGGGTCACTATAGACGCCAGCAGACAGGATCGTATTCACTTTTTCATCATAGATGATGAACACAAACGGATGGTCGCAAATGAACTTGGTGGGATCGGGTTGCCTAGCCGATCGGCTGGCTATGAGGATGGTGGCCGCCGCAGCGGTGCTTCCCATCTCGTTTTTTACTAATCCATCGGGAACAGAATTTTTTTCCGATAAAAAGATAAATTTAAAATAAACCAATTCATTTTTTATGAGTATTTTTCAGAGTTCTTCGTTAATTACAGTGTTAAAAAACATTAAAAAAAAATGAAGGTTTATTCATGACGAACCTCATGGTGGCGTTACCTACTGAAATTTACCAATCTTTACCAATTTACCAATCTTGAGGTTGACTTCACAGTTTTGGCAAGTGTGTTGAAATACTAAAATCGTTGTGTTACACAAATGTAACCAACCAACCCCTCGAGTTTACAGTGTAAGCTTTACACAAATGTCTAACCGGTCACCAAAATACAATTCAAAACTGTTTATTTCATTTATTTATATGAAAACTACATTTTTAAAATTATTTATTATATGTTATTCCCACTTGTTCTAATGATTTCTGATTTCCTCATATTTATTTTAAATATAAATGTGTTTGATTTTACGTTGCAAATTTTTTTCTGGGTGTACTTTTGCAGGAGAATTGTGTTTGTGGACACTTACCCTGAAACGAGAACCATAAATTGACAAGAAACGGATGCTCCAGTGACGATAGTAGTTCCACCTCCTTAATGACACCGCCAAGAGCTCCACGCAACTCGCAGGCTGAGCGACTAACATATTTCATGGCGTATAGGATACCGCTATCCCGCTTTTGAACAATGCAGACCTGCAAAAATATCTCGTGAATTCAAAATATTTCCCTTTGAATATATGCTGCTCCTACCTTTCCGAAACTTCCTTTTCCTATGGCGCGAAGTATTTGGAAGTGGTCAAAATTGACTGTTAAGTGAAGAAAAACGACCAAAAACGACCACATAAATTAGTGGCAATAAAAGTTGGTAATTCGGCTCCAGATCATGAAATCTGTTGCGTTTTTATAAATAATCGTATATGTTTATTCGCTTGCCCACACACCCGACAATTTTAGGTATTGGCAGTGAAGCATGGGGCTCTTTGTAGGCCATTGGTCAAAGTAAGAGGATTTTGGGAAAATTTCCCTTAACTGATTTCTTCGGCTGGAGCTCAGAAAAAACGGTGGTAGGACGTCCACTTGCAGCAGACACATTTTGGGAAAGTTGTGCCCGACAAGAACCTCAAAATGAGATCTGGGCATATAGCTAATCCTCAGCTCCTGCAGTCGTTGACACGTGCTCGCCAAGAGAAGTTCGAAATCATCTCCGTGAAGGGGAACCTCAAGAAGGTTTATCGAGAGTCTGGTCAGCCGGTGACGCCATAGGCCACCGAGAAGAAAACGACAGCGTTCGTAGCTCTCCAGCATAGCAATCTGGTCGGGTAGATCTAGGAATCCCAATATTCTCGACAGGCACAGGTCGTCTACTAACTCCATGACCCCTCAGCTTGCCTCGGGTGTGTGTGCTATACAAAATTCGACCGGTAGATGTCTTGCTCCCTGGCTACTGCTACTGCGTTTCAATCAAACAAAAACATCTCCTAACGAGGTAAAAAACTAGTGACGATCGCCCTTTCAACATACAAAAGTTCTGATATCATAGTTTCTGACGAAAATTTATTTTACTATTATGTTAATAAAATTTCTAAATTTAGGGTTAGGAATTTTCTAAAAGTGGTGGATCAAATGTTTTTTATTTTAAGTTGCTGAATACGAAAGTAATAATGCCAGGATTCCAAAACACAAAAGTGATCGGGTGCCCGACTATCCCTTCTCAGCTGAAGGGAACTTTGATCGTGCACAACTTTTTAAAGAATTGTCCGATTTAAAAAATTCGTGGGCGTTAGAGGGGGCGTGGTGCTCGGCTGAAACAAACTTGCGCTGCGTAGGAAGAATATGTGTGGGTAATCCCAACTTTCTAGCTTTTGTAGTTTCCGAGATCTCAGCGTTGATCAAGAATATATATACTTTAAAAGATCGGAAACGCTTCATTCTAGCTGTTACAAACTTTTGCACGAATACAATATAGTCTTTTACTCTACAAGTAACGGGTATAAAGATTTAAATTTAAATATACTTCTTTAGAATTGCGTTCGAATCCATTGGCCCTCCTTACGCAAATTTTTCAAATTTTAATTTTTTCACTTTCACTAGAAGTTATTCAACTAAGTTATCGTTTCGTTCAGACTGTCGTAGCCGGTTTTCAATTCTGCGGCTAAGCTCCACGTGGACTACCGTCCACAGTCATGAATTTTATTCAAATATAAAATTTCTAAATTCCTGATTTCAAGTAGTCAATTTTTCTGGAAATAAAAAAAAGATTTTCTTGTTTTAGGAAAACAATTTCTAAGTTAAGCTTTCTAGATTTATGGGAAATTTACGAAATTTGTACAAAATTTTCTTGATTCTAGAAATATATTTCCCCTTTTCAGAAATGTTTTTTATAGGGAAAGGTCTGTAAGTTAAAACATACGGCTTTCTCAAAAATTTTCCACCAAAAAAAAGTTTTTATACCCGTTACTCGTAGAGTAAAAGGATATATTGTATTCGTGCAAAAGTATGTAACAGGGAGAAGGAAGCGTTTCCGACCCTATAAATTAAAAAAAAAAAAACAGGTGATAGTCAAGACAAACTCTACAAAGTATCCTTGAGTATACTCAAGTTTGAAGAAAATCTTTTTTGGCATATGCGCAGTTGAGAAGTTCTTATCCAGTACATTTGGTACTTAACTTACACTTACAGATCTGTTTTTCAAAATGTCGTTTTTGGCACTTTTCAATATAAACAACTTTTAATTTTTCCTAAAAAAAGTTTTGTTTTTGTTACTTTTAAGCTAAAACACTATATATCGGTACCTAAAATGTAAAGTTTCATAAGCTTATACCCAAATGGCAGATCAAAAACAACATACAGACCTCTCCCCAATCAAGAAAATTTCTTTCTGAGAGTTATGGTCAACAGCTATCGACTCAAATCATGGAGAACTTAAAAAATTAATGCCGATTTTGAGGTGTTTTTTTTTGTTGGTAGGTATGTCTCAACACTGTGCTTATTAGATTTCCTAGATCGCACTCCCTTTAGCTGAGTGATAGTCGGGACAGAGATAGTCTAGTTTCGATCATAATGTTTTTATTTGTTTGCGTTTCCCCGTCAACATGATTTGGGCACCCAAATCAGCTTACTCTAATTCATGTATCATAATTTAGTACTTACCATCATCATCGGCGAGCAGACTCGCGTCGGATCTGCTCGATGTGTTGGCACCCATGGTGCTACATTAATGGGTTGAACTGAAGCACCGACCTCCGTGTTATTTTCCTTGTCCAAACAAGCCTTGGGTCTGCTTTTGATATTTGCTCGTTGTTGTCACACCTATGTATAAATATACATATGAACTTCCTGGTGTCTTGTGTTGAATTTTTGCTAATTGACTAGAATGAGAAAATGTGCTTTCTTGTGTTATAACACAAAAAAATTTGCTTGGTAAAATTTACCAACAAAGATAGTTACGTAACTATTAAAATAGTTACGTGTATTTTGTTTTTGCTTTGGGTTTGTGTCTTTGCTAATTGTGTGTATTTTGTTGTTGTGAAATGACAATTTACTTAGTAGAATTGACAGTTTTGCTGGTTAAGGCCTGTTTGACAATTATTACAGTTGATTTTACCAAGTTTTTTTTTTGTGTGTATGTTTGGGAAAGAAAGAAAAATACACTTACTAACGAAGCACACCGGGGGAATGTGCAAGGAAGATTTATATTCTTGTTGTATGTTTTAAAAAATATACACAGAACAAAAAATTTGATATGAAATAGAAAAACATTTCTTATCAATAAAAAGCAAATCGCTGTGGAGGCAGTCCACCTAATGACAATGCGCAGAAGAGTGTGCGATGGCGAGTTCTATTATATAGCCGCAGAATTGAAAATCTGTTGTGATGGTCCGATCATAACAAGTGATACACCAATCAAAAGGTATCGCAAAGTCTTAAAGAAATGCATACCAAGACATTAAGAAAAATAATTGGTTCGGGAGAGCGAGCGGTGAAAGCGTGAAAATTTAGAAATTTGGAGCTGTCGGGGGCCGGTGTGTATAAATGCCCTCTCGTATTATTTTACTTGTGATCCTATTAAAAATACCCGTCGAATGAGGGCCTCCCAAAATAACGTTTGTTCTTATTGTGAGAACAAAATTTAAGAACCAAAATTTTTTAGATCAAGAACTTTGTTCTTAAATTTAGACTGGGTTTTTCCTCTCAGTGTTGAGTTAATTTCTGTAATATATACTAACATTTAAATATTTAAAGATAAGTTTGCGATCAATGGATAATGGAGAAAAAGCTAGTAAGTAATATTTAATAATTGATATAATATTTAATAATTGATCTATAAACAGATTTTGGCCGATTCAAAACAAAATAAGTAGTTCTTATTTTAAGTCTGCTTTTATATCTTTTATTAATTTCGATATTTACATAGATACACAAGCTGACGGAGCCAAGTATCTTAAATGCACTATAGATGATTCTAGAACACTTTTTAATTTAAAAACCGGCAATTGGAGAATGTAATTATACCCGTTACTCGTATAGTAAAAGGGTATAAAAAAAGTTAAATTATCTCCAACATCTCTCTTCAACTCTTCGTCAAGCTAGATGCTAGATCAAAATTAGTTGTCAACCCAACTTTGTTAGATTTTAAGTAGTACTTTTAAATTAAATTATTTCTATTTCTGTTACTCAATCCCATGTGACTAGCGCAATAAATATAAGTTTTTAATTGTAGCGTTAGGATATAAACAAATAAATATTAAAAAAAAAAGAAAAAGCCATTCCGGGTCTTTGCATCATTCCTGTGATTAAACCACTAAACATTCTCTTTTTAGCCGCCCAGCTACTACAAAATATTTTTTCTCTGCTTTCCTATCCAAGTTTGTAGATATAATTAAAGAAAAAAAAGTTATTAAATAAATTCTTTAAATAAAAAAATACATATAAAAATGATTACGTAATCATTGTTCAAGAACCACCCCCCTCCCCATGTAATCAAACGTAATCATTAGACATCGGATTATATGTTTTTCTGCATTTATGTTCCAAATACCGCCAAATTTTGTATTAAATTTGTATTCGAATGGAAACGACGTATCGAAAATATGCATTTTTTTATGCAAAGAAATATGCAAGATATGTCGATAATATGCAAAATATGTCGACAATATGCAAAATATATCGTAAATGTTTTTATGCCTTATAGACACTAAGATTTCGAGCTTTGTGGTTAAAATACGGTAAGTGTCTTTCTGTAGATCTCAGGGAACTACTATACATACAAATAGCTTCATTTGGGCCACTATATCTTAAAGAAATGGGTCCCGAAAACAATAAGTTCAATTTTCACTGAACTGCTTGATATTCTATGTCTTAATGAGTAGGACCAACAAATATATTTTTTGCATTACCGCCACACCATAAGTGAATTCACAGGAGCGGATCTCCTCCTGTGGATTTTCTTATGGTGTAGTTTTAAAAATAATTTAAAAGATTTTACTCATTTTAAATATGTTGGATAAACTTCCTTTTAGCTCCTACCCCCAATTTTTTTTCCAACTTTCCATATTGACGTGTTTTTGGGTCCTGATTACGGGAAAAATAGCCAAAGTTGGCGCACATAACGGGATCTTGAAAAATAACGGTAAAAATCGTGAAATTTTCGGGTTTTTTCAGTTTTTTCGGAAAATATAAGGAAAATGAAAAATGTTTTAGACAAAAACAGAAGATATTTATAAAACGGATCTTTTGTGTATTAATCATTTTCTTCGTAAACATAATAGTTTTCGAGGAAAAACTAAAAGAAGTATTTTAAATTGGGTGTGAACATTTTAAAATACTGCAATATCCCGCCATAAAAATGGCGACAGATAGTTTTCGATTAGTCGATAACAGCATTTTAAATTTCGCCACGATTTTTTTTTTTTTAAATTTTTGCCTGCGACTTTATAAATAATTTATATGTATTTTTGGTAATAGTCTAGAAGAGCGGCCTGAGCACCAAAAACCGCGAAAAAATTGCCCTCGATGGACCGCGATTTCTTAGGAATTTACGTGCAGAAGATTATTTGCGGAAATGCATTGTTCTCTTGTAATTGCATTTCAAAGTTGCGTGTTTTGCTATAAAAACAAAGTAGGATTTTCTAGGATTTTGAGGTGTTTTGTGTCATTTTGCTATAAAAAACATATGGGCTTTCCGTTTGTTGTCAAAATAATAAGCGTTCGAAAAAATTCGACAAAAATGTGAAATTGTTTTTATAGCAGGCCAGACCCCACAACCGCGAATTAATATCCTCGATGGACCGTGATTCCTAAGAGCTTGTGCGACCATGGATGACCAACATATACATTTTTAAGATGAATCTTAAGAAATCGCAATTCGAGGAGGATCAACCTTTTAAATACTAACAATTAACTATCTTAAATTTCAGGAAACCACCGATACGGACAATGAAAAGGAATAGGCTTAATCTGTACCACTAACCAGCATTTTTTATAAATAAATATTTACTGTCCAATCATTAACCATAGTTTAATATAGCATTTTATTTACTATTACAAATGAGTTACAAGTATAAGGAGGTACTGAACTAAAAACTCTCGTAATTGGCTTTGATAAAGACTACGGTTGATCCTCCTCGGATTGCGATTTCTTAAGATTCATCTTAAAAATGTATATGTTGGTCATCCATGGTCGCACAAGCTCTTAGGAATCACGGTCCATCGAGGATATTAATTCGCGGTTGTGGGGTCTGGCCTGCTATAAAAACAATTTCACATTTTTGTCGAATTTTTTCGAACGCTTATTATTTTGACAACAAACGGAAAGCCCATATGTTTTTTATAGCAAAATGACACAAAACACCTCAAAATCCTAGAAAATCCTACTTTGTTTTTATAGCAAAACACGCAACTTTGAAATGCAATTACAAGAGAACAATGCATTTCCGCAAATAATCTTCTGCACGTAAATTCCTAAGAAATCGCGGTCCATCGAGGGTAATTTTTTCGCGGTTTTTGGTGCTCAGGCCGCTCTTCTAGACTATTACCGTATTTTTTTTTAATACATTTTATTTCCGTTGTAAAATTTGTATTTTATTTTGTTTTCTAAATTTTATATTTAACTACGAGAACAGAAATGCTCTTCCTAAAAAATGTAATGCCATTCTCGTGCTTAGGTAGTATCATCGCTAATACATCGAGAGACATCGATATAAATTTTGACACACCGATATAACAAGGGGATTCCCTAAACTGTTGAATTGCTGAATTGTTGAATTTTGGTCAGCTGTTAATCAGCTGTTCCATACAAAGCCAACTTTCAGAAATTTCAGCAATTCATCAGCCTCGGGGCTGTTGAAAATTTTGTTGAATTGCTGAAAAGCCAGAGTTGTCACCTTTTTTTAAAAGTCGTGGCAACTCTGTAACATTTTAGTATCACCAGTACGCATTATTTATTTTAATAAAATAAACTTTGAAAGCATATTTGTGGTTCTTTTTACCTTGGTAACACTTTTAGACAGTAACTAGCAATAATAAATCAAATTTTACATGCTTTAAGTTCCGTGAAATTTTTCAACAAATAACAGCTGTTTGAAAATTCAACAGGAACCATTTTGGGTCGTTCCCTTAATTGCTGAAATTTTTTGTTGAATTTTCAACAATTCAGCAATTCAACAGTTTAGGGAATCCCCCTAACATGAAGCTTTCGTGCGATATATCGGGCAAAACGACGCAAGTGTGCTCCAACGGTTTTTTATTTTCAAACATTGTGAAAAAATATTCTTAATTAGCGTTTTTAACGAAAACTATTAGTTTTACAAAAAAATGTATAAAACATAAAATACTCATTTATTTAATAGCTTTCATTTCTCGTAGCTAGCTTTTTGATTAAGTTATTATATTCGAAGATATTTAAGAAAAACAGTTTTTACAGTTATTTTCCATGATCCCGTTAGTTGCGCCAACTTTGACTATTTTTCCAATAATCAGGACCACAAATAACGTGGATTTTGAAAGTTTGGACGAAATCGGGGGTAGGAGCTAAACGGAAGTTCACCCGAATTGAGATTCGATCAAATTCAAATTCAAGATATACTAATATCCCTTTGCTAAAAGAATATTTCATTTACATTTCCACAACATACTCACATAAGACATTTTGTAACCGATTTTTGTGAACTAAAATTCAAATCACATTGATAATATTAAAATAACATTAAATATTCAAACCAATTGATTCTCTTGCTCTTTATAACACGTGCCTCATATTGTTTAAACAAATTCAAATGTTTAAACAATTTGATTCACGGCCCACCTGCCTTCCTTATTATTAATATAATTCTAATCAAGGTGAAAAATTAATGTGAAAACAAAAATACTGAAACAAACTATCAATGGTAAAATGCAGTAATATGGAATTGCCTTTCTTGATGTCTTTTCCTAAATTAGTCGAATATATAAAGCAAAACATTGCTTCGCATATATATTGGTTTCCCTTATAAGAGTTGTCTACAGTGGATGTCTTCTAGAAACCCCCATATTAGCTAAATCGCAAAGTGTATTTGGTTTTTATTTACCTTTTCGTTACCTAAACAAAAATATTTCCTCTACACACAAAAAAAAAACTTAGTAAAATCAACTGTAATAATTGTCAAACAGGCCCCAACCAGCAAAATTGTCAATTCTACTAAATAAATAGTCATTTCACAACAACAAAATACAAAATACATTAGCAAGACACAAACCCAAAGCAAAAACAAAATACACGTAACTATTTTAATAGTTACGTAACTACCTTTGTTGGTCAATTTTACCAAGCAAATTCTTTTGTGTGTAACTTCATAAATCTTAACCAAAATAATCATATTGGTTTTTGGAGAGTATCTTTTAGAGAAAGAGGTATGTTTAAGCAATGTTTTCGTGCATTTTTTTAAGAAAACAAGCTTATTTTCTAGACGTACACGCTTATCGATGTGAAATTTAATTACATGCTCAATCCAGTATGACATTCTATATTTAAACAATATGTTTTGGACAAAGTACTAATGTTGTGAAGAAAATTAGTGTAAGGATTTGTGTCGAAAAATTAATTTGTTTCTGTTCTGTGCAGCTGATAACTTACGCAAGCAATAAGAATTTTAGGATTTTTTTATGCAAGTTTTTATATATTTCTTAAGTAGTTTGCTTAGGACAATATACAGTTGTTTTTACGGAAATTAAGGAAAAAAGTTATGATAAAATCTTTTCTCGGCCTATAGGCTACACAAATGAATTTTATATATGTAAAATAAAAACCAAATATAATGGTATGCTTAGTTTTCAATTTTAGTTTCCGCAGGCGAAGCTGCGGGCTACCGACCCTGCTAGTTGTACAATGTACAATGTACAATGTACATATATATATGTATATATATATATGTATATATACATATATGATTTTTATAGCAAACGTTTGAAAAGCATACTTGTTTTTTATAGCAAACCCGGGAACTTTGAAATTCAATTACAAGAGAACCATGGCCGACCGCCAAGTTCTTTTTGCACGTAAATTCTTAAGAAATCGCGGTCCATCGAGGATAATTTTTTCGCGAATTTTGGGGGTGAGTCCGCTAATGTATAGTATTACCCAAAAACCTGTTTCTGAACGTGACGCAGATTTAGTGTTTTGAGGTTTTTACAATAGGGAATGGGGAAACTATACATAATTGTAGAATTGATTACATTATGCTCTTTCGTATTTTCTTAGCATTTGTATTCAAAACAAACTCTCTTGTCAAATACTTTATATATTTAAGCGTTCTGACAAAAGCCTGCTGTGATAATATGTCGTAAAATATGTTGGATATGTTCTTGACATGCAAGATATGTCGAATATGCAAAAACAACATGGGCCTAATCTTATTATTTTAACGTAAAATGAATTTCAGTCCAATCGAAATTTGATTTCGACAAGCCGTTAAAAATATGATTTGGCATATAATCCGATGTCTAGTAATCATTTCAAAGCCCCTAAGAGAATTTTGCCTCTCGGAAATTCGTGTGTCAACTGAAATGTATAAAGTCCTGACTTCCTGACGACATATACAATGTATATTATACATACATAGATCTCGTTGATCATTTATATTTCATTCGCTCGGTATCAAAGAAAACACTCCTGGTTCTGACCTTTTCTTGATTTCACGACACTGAAGCATGAGCAGCGAAGAGTCCATAGACATACGCGCAAAGGGCTGCGATCGCGAGGCCACTGTCTCGCTGCGCCAAAACGAACTGATCCGGAATCTTCGCGCCCTGGTGGCCGTACGTTTCGAACAGGCTATTTCTCGGATAATCCTGGTTTTTGCAGGCCAGGTGCTAGGAGATGAAGGAACAATAGACAGTAAGGGCATCGTCTCCGGGGTCACGGTGCACGTGGTTTGTCGTGCGGAAGTGCTTGGCAGGGCATTACCAACGTCGAGCCCAGTCACTAAGTCTCCGAAGTCGGGCGAACGCCTTATGAGGTCCTGGAAATCTGCCAACATTGCCTACCTTCACGATGAGCCCGATGTGCTACGAAGCCTGTTGCAGTCTGATCCGCGGATCCGGAGTCTTCTCGATGAGAACGCGGCAATGCGTCACTATCTGAACAGCGACCAGAACCTTCGCGAGATGCTCTCTCTGGCTTTCAGTCCAGCCAAGCAGGAGTTGGGACGGCGCCGCGACCTCCACATATCGCGCATGGAGTTTGTTCCCGGCGGATACAAAGTGCTGAGCCGTTTGAACTATTGCATGCTTCAAGCCTACGAGGACAATGTAGCCATGTCCTTTCAGCAAGCTTCACAGTGCGATGAAGAGTGCACAAACCCCCAGCGAGGTCTCGAAGTCAAGGACCCCCTCCCCAACCCCTGGCGTCGCTCGGCCAGCACTTCCGACCTTAGACGAATGCGCGTACTGGCCAGACGTATCCTCGCAGGACGGGACTCCCTGACTCAGAGTGGCAATAATACTGTTAGCATTAAGGAAAACCCCCCGAAGCACGACATCACCTGCGGTCAAGTAGAGGCTGCACCACAGATCAAGCGCGGTGATCTTCGTTCGCGCAAACAGGGTCGCCGGCAGCACTGCTACCAGGCCCAGTTGGATCAGTTGGTTCAGATGGGCTATAGGAATCGCAATCAAAACAAGCGCGCCTTGCTGATCTCTCTGGGCAACGTCGACAGCGCTGTTAGACTACTGGATCATTGGGACCGGTCTATGGAGGAATGAGGTCCGTTTGTACCACTTTTGTTATGTTTCGTTGTTGGCCAAAAGTCTATGACCTTGCATCCCGATCAAATCTGCATAATAAATAACTTAAATCCTTAGAATTATACACAAAGAATTTCAAAAATGCAAAACAGAAAATCATTCATTTTTACATAATAAAAGGGAACACTTAAAAAAAATGATTTATCTAAATTCTGGGTTTGCCCTATTATTTAGGTGGAATTTTTATGAGCCGTCTCTGATAGTATTTTTTTCTTTTAAATAATACCAAGAATATTCTGAATGTTCAAGAAAAATTGCCCTAAAAGAAAACCAAGATTCAAGCGAAATTTTAAGACGCAAATACTGGCTGTCATCAACAGTCCTTTTTGTTTACATGTCGCTGCCTGCGATAAAACTGAAAAATGATTTTTCAACGGATTTTTTTTTCGAGTTTATACGATTTATACTGCTCTTATACTTTATACGAACTGCCCTAAATTTTTCCCTAAAATTTTTCTAAATACAAGGGCGATTTGCCTTAAAAATCACTCCAAAAGCGTTAAATTCGGTAGCCCAGAGGGGTAATCACTTGCGCTTTCAACTTTGCTATATGAGGACTAAGGTCGTGGGTTGTGGGTTCGACCCCTATATGATTCAACTTGATGTTTATGTTTTTTTTTTTAAAGGTATATAATACTACACTCAGAAAACAAATCGCCCTGAATTTTAGAAAATCGCCTTGAAATTCAGAAAAAATTCTATTTTTCAGAAATATTTTTCTAAAAAATAAGAAAAATTTACCCTGATTAGATCTCTTGCTATCCACTTTTAGAAAAATTTTCTGTTTTTCAGAAATTTTGCTTTGAAACTCTGAAAAAATCGCCTTACATCTTAGAAAATCGCCCCAATCGGTAGCCTAGGGGTCTAATGCGAGCGGAATTTTTATTTTGTGTGCTTATATTCGGAAGTGTGTGTTCAATCCCACGTCAAGGCGAAAATTTTAGCTTTTTTTTTTTTTTATTTGTAACTCAATAATACGTATATTTTAATGCAAACTCAGATTTACGTAATATAACACAACAAGAGTATAAACCTTGAACCCAACAAAACAAAATGTGAATGTACTTTGTACAGCGCCTCACGTGATGCTTCCCTGGTGCAGCTAGTAACGTGTTTGACTGCAAACTGTGAGGTAAGGGGTTCGATTCCCACGAGCGACCAAAATGTTTTTCTCAAGATGGTAAGTTATTTGATTTTTATATTCATCATTTGTTAGTAATATAATAATTTCAGTTATTATTTCAGCTATAATATGAAACCAAAGGTGTATTTAGGTACGTACATCGTGACGTCATCCGTTTGTTTAGAAACATAAGTTGCGAAAAGGGAACCAAAAACAAACACCGTCAGAGGGAAATAACCGGCATCCACAGATTTTTATTTTCTTCTTATTCAACTTTGAAAATACTTTCCCAGAATTTAAAAAATTTCTTTTCTGGTTTTTAGAAAATTTTTTTTCTAAATATCAAGGCTAGCTGCCTTTGGTTTAAAAAGTATGGTTTTTTTCTAAAATTCAGGGCGATTTTTTTTCTGAGTGTAGGGACATTTTTTCGTCCGAATTTTAAAATATAGTAGTCTTCAAACCTTAAAAACTTTAAAAAAATAGAAAATTCGCCCTTACTTTTAGAAAAATGCACCTTATATTTAGGCAAATCACCCTAAAAACAGGAAAATATTTCTCAATTCACGAAAAATCAACCTAAATTAAACCAAATTTTCATGGGAATTAAAAAAAAAAAAATTTTCTAAATGCACGACCGAATCGCCCGCGGATAAGATTTATGGGCGATTTTTTTAATCCACGGGCGAAAAGTCCGTTTTTAGGGCGATTTAGGGTAAAAATTTTTATGAGTGTATAAAAGTAGTCGCCTTCGCAACTCTCCTGGTGCGCTTCGTCACTACGTGGACTGCCGTCTACAGTGATTTTTGTGGGCTTTCAACCCATTGCTTATATTTTGCATTGTTGACATCGATAAATGGAATGGAACAAAACAAAAAGTCAACCCTCTAGGCCTGATTTCAAATTGAATTAATTGTATGAGTGTTCTTTATTGACAGTCAGGGTGTGAAGAGTCCTGTTTCCCCTCCCAGCCAGTTTCAGAAAGGACAGATGACATCATATTATTCTCTGGCGCAGAAGAAAAATCTATATTCTGAAGCGACTCGATGGAGCCGTGATTCTTATTTATGCCAGCACAGTTGAGTTGGTTTGAGGCCTGTTTTACTTATGTATACGAGAGCTGGTAAGGAAGCCGGCTAATTTGCATAGTCCAAACAAAATGTGAGTTCGTTTCATATTAACATAGATAAGTCAATGTTGAAATATCGTGGAACTGCTGCGACGACGGGTCGAGAAAATGGACCAACATAAGTCGGTGACTGCGAAGGGCCCCAAAACACTTGGGCATTAATACGACCAAAAGAAAATAAAGTTCATTGACATCCTCTGTCCATTTCCCTTTGTCCGTTTGCTCGATGGGGCGGCAAAAATAGAAACACACCCCATGACTGGCCCGCCTTCAAATACCTGCTGCGCTGCTACGGGACGTTCTGAAGGACCTAAGAGTTTACCACTTCGTTTCCATTGAATTTATCGATTGGCATAGCTCACAGCCAGCTCCCTGGCTTATTTAAATTTGACTCGCATTTAGTGGTCCAAAGTGCTGGCTCATAACATGCCAAGACATTTCCTCCACAACTTCCACATACACATGCATACACATGCACATACAGGTGTACGTTAAGGTTTTTGTACCTGTGTTGGCGGAGGCCCCGCAAATTGTTGCTAATGCTCCTTTGATCCCTGGATGGATGTATACATGTATGTATATGTAAACGTGTAGATGGGGATGGGGAAAAGTCACGCGATGGTCTCCAACTCACACACACAGAAATGCAATGGCCACTGTTACCGTTAGCTGTGCCGTTACCATTGCCGATGGTAATTATTTACGTTTTCGGGATAGCGCGTCCGTTATCCTTGATTGGAAGTAGGCACCACGCTCTGCCATCGCAAGACAGGTACTAAAACTGTTTTGTTTACAGATTTGCACTCTGCGCTGTCGTTCTGCAAACGGCTCTCGCTCGAGACTCGGCGCAGGCGCGAGACCTGCGGAGTAGCGCAGGAAAAAACCAAATCGGTGCCGAGCCTTATGAATGAACGCTAATTAGCCAAGTTGTCTAGTTCCACTCTATTGGTAAGGCCCAATTTACATAGCCTACGTTTCAGAGCGCCCAGGAGGCGCATCAACTTGAGCGTAAATTGATGGCGCCCATATTGCGCCAGGTACCGGATCCATCAATCTTTCTGATGGATGAGCCTACATCCGGTTAAAGATAGTCGTTAGACTTCGTTAAAGCTTTTAAGTTTGTGCCATTTGTTTTAAAGTTTGGGGTGAGGTATCACAGGCAACGGATTCATGGTTTGGTTTGATGTTAAAGTTTTTTAAAAAATACACTCTTTATCTTTAAAACCCCATACTTAGAATAATGGTAGGATTTTTTAAGGGAGAAACAAATTCCAGAAAACATAGTCATAAAACATAAAAGTATACAGCTGCGATCAAAATAGTAGAAGTGTTGCCGCCCTGTGTTTTTAAAAGTTTGTTGCTGTAACTTTTCTTATACAATTAGTCTAATAGTACATGTGTTTAAAAACTTGTCTGAATTTTCATTTAGCCTGCTTTTGCTTCTGCAGCTGCTTCTGAAAAAGTCGGCAGTCGCAGTCGCAGTCGAAGCAAAAGCAAAATACGAGAGCTGCAGACTTTCGAAGCAATATGGTTCTTCTTCTTCAAAGCAGCAGCAAGGAAACATTTTAGGTAGTCGTCGTGTACACCGAGAAAAAAAACCGTTCTCAACGTTCTTGATTTCAGTATTTCCATGCTCAAAAGTGAGCCAGGAACGGTTTTACTAAAATCAAGAACGAGTGTTATTGATTTGAGACTACTTTTTTGAAAATAAGTATTCTTGATTTCAGTATAAGTCTTCTTGGATTCAAGAAAAAAAATTCTTGGATTCAAGCATAGGCGTTCTTGGTTTCAAGAATAGGCGTTCTTGGTTCCAAGAGTAAATCGTTCTCGGTTTTACTAAAATCAAGAACGAGTGTTCTTGATTTGAGACTACTTTTTTGAAAATAAGTATTCTTGATTTCAGTATAAGTCTTCTTGGATTCAAGAAAAAAAATTCTTGGATTCAAGCATAGGCGTTCTTGGTTTCAAGAATAGGCGTTCTTGGTTCCAAGAGTAAATCGTTCTCGGTTTTGATAATTTCTCTCTTACCAAGAAGAACGTATTTTTGGTTTCAAGAAGAAAAATTCTTGGATTCAGCATAGGCATTCTTGATTTCAAGAATAGGCGTTCTCGATTTCAAGAATGCTCCATTCTTGATCCCAAAATGAATTTTTCAGAAAAATTAACAATTTGTATATCTACTTCCTTTATATTTTATTCTTTTTTTATTTAGTATTATAGATATTTCATAATTACAAATTACTTATAACTAAACATATTTAAGTCTTACATTATCATTATTGAGTATGAATTAATAGATTATTTATTTATAATATTTATTTAAATTTTTATTTTATTTAATTTAATTTTTTAATTTTATTTATTTATTTATTTTATTTATTTAAATTAAATAACAATAAATAATACAAAATTATAATATTTATATATATATACTTCCGAGTTTCGCCAAGCGAACAGCTTCTCCCTGAGAACAGCTTCCTAAAAATATAAATAGTTAACCTATAAAAAAACAAGCACAAGATCCTTAAAAATTACATAATAGAAAATGCACACACATACATAAAAACTTAGCACGTGTTTTGCAAATTTTCACACACTAACGTTGCTGTACAAATACATACATAGATGCAAAAAACGAGAATTTGACGAGAGCCGAAGTGAACTTCGGTAGCTTGCCGAAAAATTCCAGAGAGAATGTCTCTCTCATTTTTAACCTTGTTCATTTTTTTTCATCTCTGAGACGAAGTTGAGAACGATTTCAAGAATGCTTGGGGACGA